CTCTAAAATCTCTCAAAACTATGTCTAATGAATTCCTCATACTTTTTTGCCTATATGATGTCCAAAAGCTAAATTTTGAATGAAAATTTCTCTTGGAACTAAAAAAAGATCTGGCTATTCTGAGGTATAGTAAAAGAAAATGCTGTAGTTCACTAACAAAAAGCAATTGAGAAACCAGCATGCGTAACTTTTATCTAGAAGTTATGGTGAATCTAGCGATGCAATAATATTGGCTCTAACATTGTTCTGGAGAGGGCTGAAAATTTTAGCGCAGAAAAGATTGCATTTTTTCCATACTAAAATTGTCATTGATTTTGGTCCACTAAGAGTAAACTTCTATAATTAGAAAGTACGTTTCTTATATCAGTTTTAGTTGTAGTTTTACAAGAAAAAAAAATTAAGACTCTAGCTCTTACGGCTTAGGAATTACAAGGTCTTTTCCGGTAACATAGTGATTTTTTCGACTTCCCGATTTTGTCAGTTTTTTGAACTTTTTGGACCCAAAAAGGAACTTTCTCTGGACAAATCATACATATTCAGATTCAGCACATCAAACTACATCTACATATGCAAAAAAATCGAAAAAATAAGAAGTGCTGAAATTTTGAATTTCCGGAACCTTAATATAGATGGTGTTGCTGTTTGTAAATCAAATATATCGTATGTCCAGGTATTATTTGTTGATTACTTTGATTGTTGTTGATTACGTATGTTGAGGTTGTTCTAAACGGCATGTAGGCCGATAAATATTTGTTTTTCTTCTATCAAATCTATTTATCCAATATAATGACATTGACATGAGCAAAAAAAAATGTTACTGGTGATGAATAAAATGATGTAAATGATAGAAGTGAATGAAGAGTTTATATTGACATAGGACATTTGAATATTGATCATCAGTAGAACGATTTTAGTTGAGTAAGATTTATAGAAGATGTGTGTTGGTCTTTCATCAGATTGTATATCAGTTAAATAACGAAGAAAATAGATCATGAATATTGAACTAAAGGAAAAAAAAAAGCAATAGTTAGGATTTTATTATTTATGGTTATTCTTGGATAGAAGTTAACTTATTTAGTAGTTATTTGTGTAGTATTATATGAATATTTAATGTTGCGGATTATTCTTCGTTTTTCAATCTATAGATTTTTCGATAGTTTATTTTATTTCTTTTATCATAAATTCATCTAACGAGGAAAGTCTTTCAATTGATTAATCACTTGTGAATCCCGAGTAGAGTTCGTCGGTTTGGTCCCGAACTCGGACTCGGTTGGATTTCGGTTTGAAAACTTTTGAGTAGCGAGCTCTATTCGAGAGAATATGCATCATGTAGATCAGAGTAAGTTTAGAATATCCTGGAAACGAGTATGGACTCTCAGCTTATCGATGTGTAGATTCTAAAAATTTAGGGTAATTTTTCTATGAATACTGTAATTGCCCTCGGCAACCTCAGGAGCACTGATTTCCGAATTTCGACTTTCAACTTTGTTGGGAGAGAGTCGAACTCTCGATTAGGAGACTTTCCCTCGTCCTACCTTTTCCTACAGTTCTTAATACGTCCTGCCAAATTTTTTACAATTTTATGGGAACTTTGGAGAGAAACTAGATCTTAAGACAGCATGTGCCTTTCTCTGGAAGAAAATGGAACAAAGATAATCAGACAATGTCGTTAGAAGGTGAACAGAATTGAGACAGGTATTAGAAAATGGAGGGGTTAATCGGAGATTGTCTGTTGCGGAAGGAGTCGAGTCATAATGGGTTTTGTTCTTGCTTCCATTGTTACCAGTTCAAGCATGAAAGTATTTTTCGAGAAAATTTTCGAACTTTTTACAGAATCCTTATCCGACAGTCTACCCCTAAATAATATCGACAAGTTTGAGATAATCCTTAAGAAGACTAGTTTTCATTGTCAAAGTTTCCGACCTTTTGATTTCCTTCTAATAATAATATTGAATCTGCCTTATATAGATGAGCGATGTAAAACGATAGACTTTTACCATCCTATGTAAGGGAAGTTAGCAAAATATTCGAGTTTTTTCTAGATCGATTCGCACAATCAACTGTGCCAACTACGGAATGTTGTGTGCCAGATAGAGTTCTATGAGCTCTATCGAATGGTATATTTACTTCTAAAAACGAAATCCACAACAAAGAAAAAAACCATAAAATATAATTTTTCATCACGGGGAAAAATATGCAAAATAGATATTTTTCAGAAATATTCGATTCACGACTTGTGCCACTTTTCAAATTTGAATCAACCGATGTAATTCAACAAGCTCTATCTAATGGTGTATAATAAGTCCTGATAAATTCAACCAATGAAGATTTATATTTTGTTGTACATCTAAAATTAGCATTTCAGGAAGTGTTTCATATCCCAATTCGTTACATAAGTTGTGCCACACGGGAAAATAATCCCATTCGATTCAGTTTAACGAGCTCTATTGAATGATATATAATTTGTCATTACACAAATCAAACTTTAGCATAAAATTTTTCTACAGTCTTAGATTTATGCTGTACTGCAACAAGTACTCCAACCAATGACTCATAATGTGAATTCTATACTAAACTCGTATCAGCCAATGAGCTTCGACCATATCTCTCGATTGATATAAAACACATCATGTGAAACATTAAAATTCAACTTCTATCATTGCTAAAACTTTTGCTTGAATGAATTAAGAGGGAGTATTCACTTAACCGATTCGTAGAGAAGTGTGTGCCAATGACGTGGCATGTCGTATCTAATGCATCTCGATCAGCTCTATCGAGATACATTAGATGTGACATGTCCCGACACTGGCACATATTGCCCAACGAATTGGTTAAGGAAATACTCAACATAACTCATACCAGAATAAGCTTTAGCAATTCTAATATTTGAAATTGAATCATGTTCAAAACCTATTATATATCAATCGATGGAGCCAATCGAAATACGTTGGATGTGACATGTCTCGTCATTGGCACACATTGCCCAACGAATTGATTAAGCAAATACTCACTCTCAGCTCACTCAGCTAAAGGTTTAGGAATTGTTGAACTTGAAATTGAATATTTTTCAACACATATTATATATGAATCGATAGAGCCCATCGAGATACATCAAATTGAACATGTCTCATCATTGGCACAGATTGTCCAACAAATTAGTTAAGGAAATACTCAACATAAGTCATAACAGAAAAAGCTTTAGCAATTCCAGAATTTGAAATTGAATGTTTTTCACAACATATTATATATCAATGGAGAGAGCTGGTCGAAATACATTAGATGTGACATGTCTCGTCACTGGCACATATTGCCCAACGAATTGGTTAAACAAATACTCACTCTCAGCTCACCTAGCTCAAGGTTTAGCAATTGCTGAACTTGAAATTGAATATTTTTCGCACCACATTGTATATCAATCGATAGAGCCCATCGATAGACATCAAATGGAACATATCTTGCCGTTGACACAAATCGCCCAACGAATTGGTTAAGAAAATACTCAACATAACTCATACCAGAATAAGGTTTAGCAATTCTAATATTTGAAATTGAACCATGTTCAAAACATATTAGGGTGATTCCATGGGATTTCTACCACTTTTTTGGAAAAAGTTTTTTTCATTTTTTTTTTCGTTCTAGTTAGACCGAAGATCGACGGAAAACTATATTGGCCGAAAAAAAAAGACTATTTACAGTTAAAATAGTGGAGATCCACGTATTTTTCTAGGTATATCTACAGAGGGTTATTCACTTTATTAAAAGCTTTCGAGCTCATTTTTTGTTCATAGGAAGAGGAACATTAGACTAGCACAACCTCCAAAGGATTCTTTTAGATATTGAGATTTGACCGAGATATCAACATTTCTACATATAGCACTTTTGCGTAACTTTCAGAAAAAAGCGAATTTTTCGGGATTTACGCAAAAGTGCTATATGTAGAAATGTTGATATCTCGGTCAAATCTCAATATCTAAAAGAATCCTTTAGAGGTTGTGCTAGTCTAATGTTCCTCTTCCTATGGACAAAAAATGAGCTCGAAAGCCTTTAATAAAGTGAATAACCCTCTGTAGATGTACCTAGAAAATCACGTGGATCTCCACTATTTTAACTATAAATAGTCATTTTTTTTCGGCCAATATAGTTTTCCGTCGATCTTCGGTCTAACTAGAAGGAAAAAAAATATGAAAAAAACTTTTTCCAAAAAGTGGTAGAAGTCCCATGGAATCACCCATATATATATGCATAATAAGAAAAGCATTAAACAAACTCAATATGAATCAATCTAGCGTTAGCCTTCTTGAGTTACCTAATGAAATAATAGTCAGTATTTTAAAAAAGCTCGACAATATGGATGTTCTTTATTCATTGTTAGATGTTGATAATCAACGACTTGACATTATAGCACAAGAAAATATGTTCACTAATACTCTCAATTTTGTATTAACAACAGCAACTGATGATATTTTCTCGCTTAATGATACAATAGTTGAGCGATTTTGCACAAATATTTTGCCAAGAATTCATCACAATGTTAAATCTCTTATTCTTGACTCAGTATCTATGGAACGTATTCTTCTTGCTGCCGATTATCCTAATCTAACTGAGCTTAAACTCTTTAATTTTAATGATACAATTGTTTCATATTATTTCATAGGTAAATAACTTACATACTGATCAGAGTAAAGATTTCGATGAAAAACTTGTAGGGTGTGGGTGGATTAGATAATAACTATTTTTTATTTAGATCAATCACCATTTCAACGTATTTTTCAACGACAAATTACAGATCTTATTCTTGTATTCGAAAAAGATTCTGACAAATCAGAAAAATATGAGAAAATATATTTGTATGAATATATTTTCAAATTCTTCAAAAATCTAAAACATTTATCTATTTTTGGATCATCTCCTTGTTGTTTTCCACCTTTGGTACTTCATGATTTTCCTTTAACTACCTTCTCCTCTTCAATTCTTAACAAATTGTGTATTCGTGTGATGACTTTTGATGATTGTCTTGCTTTACTTGATGGTCGTCTCAAACAATTAACGACCTTGATTGTTGGTATTATTGATCTGGAATATGATTCATCGAATGTTTACAATATGGTAAGTTTACATTTTATTAGATTAATCTTAATTTTAAAAAATATTATTGATCAGAGTAATAATTGTTTTCATATTATTATAGATAGACTGTTTTTGCTAATGAATTACTATTTATTTGAATCAACTATAATTAAATAGTTGTAACATAAATGCTTATTTATTCGATGAGCAAATATAGTCAATTTTGTATATAATATTTTTAATTATGGAATATTTCATGCCTATGAGTTGGTTTAAAGAAATAAATCGAATGTTGAGAATAGATAAAGATTAATAAATATAGAAAAAAATTATAGAAAACCTATGCAGGGTTAACTTTCATTTGTTTGATTTAATTCTGATGATTTCATGTAATGCAAATAGTCATGTTTATTTGATAATATGACTTGTTTTCTGTACAGATAATATTTTTTCTAATATAGATATAGTAATAAACTTAACTTTAAATTTTTGAAGTTATTTCGGTATCCATTATTTCTTATGTACTGGAAGTTTAGCAGTACAGTCATTATTGGAAAAGATGTATATCATAGAATAGAAGAAATATTTAATAATAGATTAACTATAGTGGTTTGGTCTCAAGTTCAGGGTGAGAGACTTTTTGTAAAATCATTTGTCCTGGAGTGATTTTTTATTATTTTGTGATAATATTTGGGCGTTTGCTAGAAGACACTAAGTACTATCTAATGACGCAATAAGATCGACAGATCGACGAATTAGCTATATGAATAGTTTAAAAGAAAAAGTGTGTGTAAAAAAAGTGTGACATAAACTTTTCAAGTTTTAAAACCCTTTGTATTAGACGTGAATGACAGCTCGTGTGTAACGAAAAACGACATCAAAAGGTGTCATCAACTACCCTAGTCAATAGTTCTTCAAAGTGTTGCTTGAAATGTATCAAATCAATGAGGGTGTAGGTGGGTGTGGGTATGGGATGTGGATTGAATAAAGACCACACCCACAGCCACATCCGCACCCATACCCACACACACACTCACACCCGAGATGAAATTGTTGCTTTCTTCCGTTTTCGATCTACACCCAATCGAAAACCACCATGACCACGGTTACCATCTCTAGTATCGGAATCAGCGTTCATTTCTTTTTTCTTTTATAAATGAATGAATAATAGGGATTAAGCAAAACGCTATTGGCAAATGATAGCTACTGTATGTGTATGTACAATAGATATATAAAAATAAAAGAAACACTTGCCAGGGAGGTAAAAAAATCAAGATAAAACAATAGTCAGTTATATAAAAATCGAATAATTATTCATATTTAATAGTAGTTAGCGGTTTCGAAGATAGGGGTAGTTGTAGCTAGTGGCTCCCTCTACATGACTATAAACATATCATAAAACAAATATCTCTTAGTGCATGGAAAAAATCAGAAGGAACAAAAAATACCAAAACTGAAAAAAATCAAGTTTTCACCCTGAATTTGAGACCAAACCACTATAGAAATAGTACTTTTCAATTAATTAATTATCTGAAGTTTTTATTTTAATTGATAATAATAGATTTGCAAATATTGATTTATATTATCTAGGATGATTTACCTAATTTGAAATGTTTCTCCTTATCAGCACATTGTTGTTTATCCGATACATATGATACTCAAATTCTACCTCTCTTTCGTCGTATGTCAAATCTTGAAGAATTAAATATCTATATTGGTATCAAGAATCGAACTGTATTTATCGATGGTATTCATATGAATAATGAAATTCTTGTTCATATGCCATGGCTTCATATATTTAGCTTCAATATAAATATGAAAACTGAAATTGATCGTGTAGTTCATCATTTATCTAAAGATGATATTCAACGAACTTTTACTAACAACATATTTCAACAAGTGGACTGTATTATAAACTATGGATATTCTACTGTCATGTGTCATGTCTTTTCATCATCATTTAGATGTTATTATCTCACATATATTGGTTATACATTTCCAAATATTAACTATCTTCAGACATTAGAAGATTTGATGATATACGATGAAGTTCCATTCAAAGATGAATTTTTTTATTAGAATTGTTTGGTCTTTTCCTTTGTTTAAACAATTATATGTGATTAATTTTAAATCATAATCATCAATATTAGGCAAATTGAACTATAATGATAATTAATTCTATTAAATTATTAAATATCCTTATCTTACTTGTTAACTCTGGAATTTTTTTTTCTGCAATAAATGTTTAGGTTTTACATCTTGTATATATGACATATATCAACAAAGATTTGTTTGTTTATCTCTTATGTTTGAAATAGCACAATAAATTAAAAAAAAACCAAATCGGTTATCTATTCATAATCAATGATGTATAATTGTAAAAGTGATATATTATTTTATATGAACTATTAAAACCAGATATAATAGATTTAAGTACACTTCATGTGTATGAGGATTCTATTTGTTTTTTTCTTAGTAGTATTTGTTGGTAAACCTTAACCAATAACTTTAACATATTCATCCCTTTAAATGTCACCTATCGATTATCGTTTCGTTTTTCTATTCTCCCTTTTAGTCATCTGTAACAGTCCTTTATTTAATGTTTATTTTTAGTTCTATTTCAATATTGTCACAGTAGTGAAATTTGCAATATTTTCTTCTGAATACTATTGAGGCAGAGAAGGTTATTGAAAATATGAATACCACATAAAGGGCAAGTTGATATTGAATCCAACGGATTTGATGTAATTATAATTTATCATAAACAAATGTATAATCTTTTTTCTCGATAGGATTTAATAAAAAATTTCATATGAATTTCAAAAAACAAATTTTGATGTCAAATATATATACATATACAGTGGAGTGCAAAAAAAATTGCCGCTGCGTATACGCATTTTCTCGGACCATATCTGTGAAGTGCATGAATAGATTCTTCTGAAACTTGCATCGGCAGTCAAGAAGATGCTATAGATTGTAGTGAGAACGAGACACCTCCAAAAGTATGCTTCTATAGACTGAGAGACATCCTAATTCGAATGTCCACCGCTTTTCTACCATATCGAACGATCATTTTACACTACTGGGACTAGAGCAATCATTGAGCTACGAAAATCATCTTGGAGAAGACCTCTGTTCATAGCATCTAACGAAATGCAAATAAACTTCAACCCCCAAGGCATCTTAGAAACAAATGGAATATCATGGTCTGTCAAATTTTCAGCACAAATGGCGCTTCCACACAATTTTTACATTATCTCGATAATGACTTGTCCAGTCGACTTGAAATTTTCACAGTAGACAGACCTCGGCTAGTAGATAAAATTTTGTTCCAAGTGAATAATTCTCAAGATTCATCTTCAAGGTCAAATAGAGGTCACAAGTTGAGAAGATGGTATTGAGCTTGTTTCCTGTCTTAAAAATCGAGAAGACGCCGTATCGAGCTCAAACTTCGGCTACAAAATCTTGATCCAAAACGAGGTTCATGGCTTCTCTCACTTTTCTTCAAAACACACATTTTAGGTTAGGACACAATCCAGGTACATAGGCAAAATGATCCTAAATTATTTGAGCACACCGATGAAAGCATAGTGTTTACTTCTTTTTTGGTTGGAGGGAAAGCGAGCTAGTTATGGATTATTATATTTGGATACTATATTGTATGTGCAACTTATATATAAAAACAACTTACAATATTCATCGTGTTCAGTGGGATAATTTTATCAAATACTAACGGCAATTTTTTTTGCACTCCACTGTATATACTTAGGGCATACAAAAAGTTCTGAGAATGATACCTTATGATAAGCTTTAAGTAACTTTCTTTCTATATAGTCTGATAGAAAAAAAAGCTCTATCTTTCTATGCTATTTGATCATACTTCAACTAATGTGATAATAATAAATTTTCGATAAGACTTTTTCATTAGTATTTGTGCTCGTTGTAAGTTTTGCGTTGCAGTTTTCAATTCCTTGTTGGTTGTATTAATAAGCAAAATATACTATAAGATGCAGCGTGAAAAGCTCTACAATTTACATAAGGCCACTTATTTTATAGCTGCACTTTTTGTTTTCGAAATCGACAAAATTTTTGTGCAATCAAATTCTGACCATGCGAAAAAGATAATGTTTTCGACAGACAACGCATTCATTTGTGTTATTTCTTTGATTCATCACCTAATATGCTTTATCAAAAGAAAAATAAAATATACCACAAGATGCAGCGTGAAAAGCTCTACAATCTACAAAGTAAAGCTTATTGTTATTGTTTTCAGAAAAAGGAAAATTCTATGCGACCAATTTTCTCAATGCCCAAAATTTGATCCCTGAAAACTTTATCGATTTTGAAAACGAAAAATGCAGCTATAAAATAAGTGGCCGTACATAAATTGTGAAGCTTTTCACGCTGCATCTTATGGTACACTTTGGTTGTTCATACAATGTATTAAGGAATTGAAAACTAGTCTGTTTTCACACGTTGTGATCTAGTACAACCAGCACACAACTAGCCGAAATAGGTTTTATAGATAATTTAATATTATTATATTAGTTGAAGTACAATCAAATAGCATGAAAAGATAGAGCTTTTTTTTCTCTATCAGACTATGTAGAAAGAAAGTTACTTAAAGCTTATCATAAGGTATTAAGGTATCACTCTCAGAACTTTTTATATAGGGTGTCCAGTAATTCACTAGAGTTGGAGAAAAAAATTTGAATATTTTCATGAATCTTCAACCAAATGAGCTGAATTTTTTTTGGAAGGTAGAGGACATGTAGCAGTTTTTATTCATAACAGAACAGGTCGTTTATGAGGATTAACTCAGCACACTTTTCTTTGCTATGTAAATAAGCTAGGCACAAACATTTGTTGTTCATAGTTATAATGCAATACTGTACGATAATCTTTTCTTTATTTATTAGGAAGCATAGTTGACATACAATGCGATATTATTAGTATGAAAGAAACTGTCCTTCGTTGTTCAAGCAGTCACGAAGACGTTGCACAACAGAGCGACATGCTTTGCGACACATTTCTTCGGGTATCTCTTCACAAGCTTGTTCAATTCTTTCTTGAAGTTCTGTAATAGAAGCGACTGGCTCTTTGAACACAATGTCCTTCAAATAGCCCCAAAGAAAGAAGTCACAGGGACTTAAATCTGGTGAACGAGCTGGCCAGTCGAATGGGCCACGTCTACCTATCCATCGATCTGGAAATTTTTTATCCAGCCATTCTCGAACAGTAACAGAATAATGAGCTCCTGCTCCATCATGTTGAAAGTAAAAGTTTTTGTTCTTCAACCGAGGCCATGCATAATTAACCAGCATTTCTTTGTACGATGGACCAGTAACGGTATCATTGAAAAAATATGGACCAACGAGTCCATTAGAACTTATTCCGCACCAAACCATAATTCCTTGTTGCGTATTTGGCATTTCAAACTTGAAGTGTGGATTTTCTCTGGCCCAGTAAGTGCAATTATGTCGATTGATGCTTGTATTCATATTAAATTTGGCTTCATCGCTCCAAAATATACTGTCGATTAGATTGGGATCTTCTTCGAATTTCTCGATCCATGATTCGCAAAACTCGCTACGACGATCGAAACCATCATCATTAAGGATGATCACTAAGGTAGGACGGTAAGGTTTAAAGCCAAGTTGTTTCATTGCCACATGGTAACTGCTTTTGCTTATACCAGCTCGATCAGCACCTAAACGAATAGACAATTGTGGATTGCTAGTGGCTCTTTCTTCAATTTCGTCTAGTTTTTCTTCAGAGAGTACACTTGACGGTCGACCAATGTGCGGTAGATTTTCAATTGTTCCAAATTCATCAAACTTTTTATTGATTGACGAAATTGTGGTGAGATGAGGTGGAGTTGTATCAAAATAATTGGTCCATACTCTTTGTACGTCAGTTGCATTTTCAAACTTTGAAAAAAGTCGTACAATTGCAACTTTCTCATCAGTGGTACGAGTTGCATACATATTAAAGAATCGTAAGTGATATAACTAAAACTATGTACAGTATCACCACGTGGATTATCTTTCGTACCATTGTTTTTCGTCTTTTCTTTTCTTTATCTCTGAATATGCGTGCTTTGACTTACATGAATGATGCACGTATCGATACTTCTGTATCAGCTATATGACTCAAAACGAAACAAAAAGTGAGATAACGGTCAAACTTAACAACTGATCTGATTTACGCACGATAACACAATAGTAGAACTACTTTGAATAATAAGCAAGTCCTCATCATAGCTGACTGGCCTTGTGTTTAAGAAAAACGTGCTGAGTTCATCCGCATAAACGACCTGTTCTGTTATGAATAAAAACTGCTACGTGTCCTCTACCTTCCAAAAAAAATTCAGCTCATTTTGTTGAAGATTCATGAAAATATTCAAATTTTTTTCTCCAACTCTAGTGAATTACTGGACACCCTATAAGACGATTGGAACCAATTTCTACAATTGAGAAAGAAACAATGGCTAACCTTATATATTGTAGAATTCTCAACCAAATTCAATAATTTTATCAGAGTATATTCTTCATAAGTGTGGCTAGTTTACCTGCTAAAATCAGTCATCTAGTGATTATCTATCAATTGAGGGCATGAAAAATATATCGCTTTTCCGCTTAAATTTCATATAGTCATGTCCAATGGTGGTGCGTTCAGTTTAGTTTTTTTTCTCTTAAGAATACCTTTTAAAAGTTTATTATAACTCATAAGTATCTTTGTGAGACTCGCTACAAAAATGCACTATTTTATTTAACCAAGTAGTGTTTATTTTACTTGTACATGCTTCAAGTATTGGTGGCCGAAGATTTGGTGAAAAATGTTCCATCACTCTGTAAACTCCCAGGCGAGCAAAAGACGGGTAAAAAGACTAGTTAGTTTTACTAGTCATGACGCCCCGTCACTCATTAGTCTTTTTCTCAAAACGACCTAGACATGACTAGTCTGATATTGTTGGGAGTCCGTACACAGCGTCCTGACTAGCCCACAGATGGGCGTCAGTATTTCAATATAGACTAGTCATTTTTACAAAAAGGACTAGTCCTGACGGTCCGTCATGA